CGCATTGTGAATTAGATATTGGCTTTCTGCACTACGTTTTGCATTTTAAAGTTCCGTTGTATTCCCTGTGGGATCGATAACCAGGACTTCACTAGAGCCATGTATTACTTGAGCGATACGTATCCTTGCATTGATAAGTGTGAAAGAGAAGATATAAAAGATATAAAAATTAAATTAGAAATCGAGCATTTAGAAAGTCGCGGCCACCGCGCTGTTGCCCCACCTTCACAGCTTGCCACCCCACCTTTCAGCCTACCTCCCAGCCGCCCAACAAACCTTCCTGCCACCTTAACCTGCTTCCCCTCCTCTAGTTCACCTTTCAATCTCTGCCGGCCCCTCTCCCGCATTCAAGCTTGCTGCCCCAAGCTTTTGGATCCACTGGGCCAACCTCCACTGCCCTGGGGACATACTTTCGAGGTGTTGGCTTGTGTTTTTGTGTTTGTTTCTCATTTATTTCATGTTTTGAAGAGTCGTAACCGATTTTAATTTCAATAATAATATTTGTGTTTCTTTTTGGTTTGGCCATTCGGCTCCAGTATCACAAACGACATAGTGACCCGATTTGGATGTCGAGGTGGTTCACCACTTTTTCCTATACAAGTTACAAACACAGCATTTGTAAAAGAAAAATGATACAACACTTCATTCGGCAGAACCAAGAGATTAAAATCTCCATAGCACTCAAAACAAAGTAAAAGTCCCTTCAATCAGAAGATAAGAACTTATAAGCCTCTTTAAGTAAAAGCCCAATTTAGAAATAAGAAGATAGGAAATGAAAATATAGAAATAGGAAATAAATCAAAAAGAAAGGGAATATGTTGAAAATAGGGAAATTTGGGCAGCATTCTGCAGGTTTACAAACTCCCGCAATTGTGGGATCGCGATAACGCAGCAAATTGCAGTTCTGCGGTCCCCTCCTGCTACACTTTACATCTAGGAACTCTTTTGGATGTTCTCCCGTATTTTCATGCAACAAAATAATCTTTTGTTATAGCGTTTGATGTAGCCTTGATGGTTATGGTTACTCTTTGCAAAATGGCAATATTGAACTTGTTGCTCTTTAATATTTATGACCCCTCTTAGGCAATTCAAGTTGAACAATAAAACGGCCGACACATGAATGCACAAGAACTTCCATAGGAGATATTTTGATGTGCCTGGATAGTTTAAGCATTAATTTGGATGACCTGTGGATTAATGGATAGAAGGATCTTGAAATGCCCTTCCAAGCTGCATTACTTGTTGGTTTTGATGGCATGATAACCTTTATTTTTCCCTAGAATGACTGATATAGATCATGTAGTCATTGATAACTGTATAGAGCCATTGTGCTGCTCTTTTTTTTTTCTCTTTTTTACAAGCTAGATAGATCTAATAACTGAAATAAATAATAATAATAATAATAATAATAATAATAATAATAATAATAATAATCATCATCATCATCCAATAGGCACTTAAGGGGTAACCGTCTTTAGGAATTGCATTACCCATTCTAACCAACAGAAACAGAGAATGAGTGGGAGCGGAAATCGAAGAAGGAAAACGAAGTAGAGGAAGGAAAGGATGAAGGAGAGGAAACACTCTTATCGGAACAAGAATTAGGAGGCGAGCGAGGTGGTGATTGAAGGAAGGAGAGGCGCTCGTTTCCTCAGGAGGCAGTGTCGAGTGTGACGCTTTGCGTCGAGGTCGAAGGAGGAGGCGACGCTATCCTAATCGAAGAAAGGATGAGGTAGGTGATTGTTTCACATGGACGATACTGGAGTGGAACTAAGTTTGAAGGAAGAAGGAAGAAGGAAGAAGAAAGGGAAGATGCTCGCGTTTTGTCATGCTTGGTTCCGTGTCTCATCGAAGAAGTTGAAGGAGATGGGATCCATAGTAATCTGTTGTGCGCTGGAAGAAGAGGAGAAGGGAAGGAAGAAGCGAGCCTTACGTGCATACGGGAAGGGTAGCCCATCGAAGTATAAAGGAATGTTAGGGTTTGGTTAGATTATTTATTGAATTTAATATATATATATATATATATACACAGACATGCCGACAACTTTCATATTCCTACTCGTGCTTCTCTTTCAGATTTAGATACTGGTTTTCATATAGGAAAATCCTGCAATGTCCCACAATCATTTCACGAGGCTCTTAAAGGTGGTGGCATCACACCTTCATAAAAAAATTAGGAAAAAAAAATGGGAAGTCTGCTCTTATTTTCACAGAGGTTGAAACCAGTACTCTCGCGTCTTCCTGACGCTTTATTCTAGTGGTGAAATTTTTGTAGGGTTGCGTCTTCCTGACGCTTTATTCTAGTGGTGAAATTTCTGTAGGGTTACCCAAAACTGGAGATCATTCGGAAAGATTTTGAGGCTATGAAACTATTGGGCAGTTGGAATATTGATTTACTTGACGGTCGACATATACTGATTCAGTTGTCTCATGATGTCGATTACACTCGCATCTTTTCTTGGAAAGTTATCAAGATCGACAACCGTTATATGAAAATTCTGAAGTAGACTGTTGGTTTCGACCCAAAAGCGGAGTCCCTTATCATTCCAGTCTGGATTAAATTCCGGGGTTAAAATTACATCTGTTCAGCTTGTAAATTCTCTACTTCTTAGCAACTGCTTACGGTAAGCCTCTCAGGGTTGATAGTCCTACGCTTGCTGTCATCAGACTCTCTGTGGCTTGTGTGTTAGTTGAGAAAGATATCACTCAACCAGCTCCGGATGAGGTGTGGATTGGAACTACTCACAACGGGTATTGACAAAATATTGAAATTGAATCACACTCTTCTTATTGCTCTCATTGTAGTATGTTTGGCCACAACTCTACTATTTGTTATCGTTTGCATCCTCATCTAAGGCCGAATATCGCTAATGAACAACCACCTATTATTCCTGGTAAGAAGATGCAACCCGATCCTCTTCCCAACACCGCAGTTCCTGAGGAAGAACAACATGCTACAACTACAGATCCAGTTGTGCTTATACCACCTACTGTTATTGAAGAAGACTCACATACATGTCAAGAAACACAAGAGGGCTCTTTTGATCCAATAACAGATCAGCGGGTACAACATGTAGTTGCTTCTAATGTTCAACAATCTGCACATTTTCAAACCAACACACTTTAGACTAAGATCAGGTGAGCCAATCCTCGGACGAGGAATGACAGGTCTATTCCAGGAGGAAGAAAAAGAATGGAGGCCGACTCCAGCTCGGGAACATTTTGGATGATACATTGGTTACTATTATCAATGACAATCATCTTACCAACTTATTAGCTTGCTCCTTCCCTAGAACCATAGTAGAACCATCTTCCCTAGAACCATAGGCAGAGGCAAAACCAAATTGGGTTGCTCTCTAACCACCTGATACTATGTATTTCAACATTTTTAGACTTTCTTTATGTCTCTAATATATTTTTCTGTATTTTCTAGTTTTGGAATCCGTTGTGGTTTTGGTGTTGGCAGGGTGCCATGTTTGGGCCCTCCAACACATTGTATCTGTATCTTTCTTTCTGGTTAATATATTAGCTTTTTTTAGGCTTTCTATAATATATATAAATATATATATATCTGCCCCCGCGCGCACACACATACACACACATATCTTTGTGTGTGCGTTTATATATGTAATACTGATAGGAAGTCGAATTAAATCATGACTCAAAATATAGAAATTTTTGACTTGGAAGCAGAAGTTGGTGAAGTGTGCGAGCTAAAAGAGGAGAGAGATTGATCTAAGCAAACTTTGGTAAGGTGAGTTTGTGTGTTTATTTATATAAAATATTTTGCTAAATAAATAGATGCTATTAAGTATGATTTAATGAATTTAAATTGTAGTTAAAGAAAATTTTATTCAATGAATTAGGGCTTTGGCTGTGGTTAGGACAAAATAAGTATGGTAAAAGGAGGTGATAGTAAAATGAAGTAATTTTAGGATTAAGATTTTAAAAAGGTCGTTTATGGCAAAGGTGATTTACTTTCTTATGTGCTAAATTGATGGTTTATTTAATCAAGACTTTATTGTTGCTTCCAATATCTCTTTTTATAATTATATGTGTGTTGTAAGTTAAAAGAATTATTTAAATGAATGAAATGAAATGATCAGAAGAAAAATTGGTTGTTCAATATCTTTAAAGGGAGGTAATTTAAATGAGATGAAATGTAGAAGCTTAAGTCATACAAGATTACCCTAGAGATGCGATGTATCTGTGCATGAAAAAGGAATTGAAAATAAATGTGTACCTTCGGGTGCAAAACATTTTGAGGGTACCTAAAAACATAATTTTGAGGAGACTTTCGGGTATTATGATAATCCTGATATGACTTCTTAAAGATGTTAAAAATGATAAATATTAAAATTGAAACGGGAATGGTTAGATTTTAAAATGAAAGTTTACAGTATGATTAAATAATGTAACAATTTTTTTTTTCTTTCACACATAGCATTTGGATATTAATGTATAATAATATTAAAATTACTCACTAATTCATGCAAATTTGTTGTCTAAATTAATTATTTCTTTTAGGTAAATCACTACATTGATATGTCTGATAGGAAAAATTTTGTTTATAGGAGGACGACTACGCTCATGGGTATTTTGTTGTGTTGTGGTTGTCGTCGTTGTACTGTTTACTTCTGAGTAGTGATATTTTTGTTTGTTGTTTGAGATGTTTCTTTACAGATTATGTTGTTTTTGGATGATTTGAATTTCTATTTAGTGTAATTTGTGGTTTCTTAGCTGCTCTTTTATAAATTAGAAGTTATTAAAATCGGGGGAAAGTAAATAAAATGCTAATACCGCCCGACCGCAGTTCCTGATTTGGTTAATTCTAAGCTATTGGTCTTGTTTGTGACAATGGAGATGTTTCATTGGAAAATAGTTTTTCTTTATCAATGTAGGTCTCTATTATTATTGCTAAGCTATTTTGATTCATTTTGCTTGCTAGTTCTTGCAATCACTCTAATTCAGTAGCTTATTTTCTATTCTTCTTTTGGCAGATGGCAGCATTCAACATTCAGGAGGCTCTGATCTGGAAGGAAAAAATTGAATCTGTGATCGATCAGGTTGCCACAAATTGAAGGTCCCTTTTTTTTGTTTGAGGTTTTAGCAAGTTAAATCTGTTCAAAAGCTATAAAAATGTTCCATTTGAGTAGAATATCAAACTTTAATTTTTTTTTTTTTGTTTCGTCACTTGTCATCATCCTAATCATTAACTTTACTTCCAACCATTTTAGATCAGTCTCACGAGTTCTTCATTCTTGTTGAGCGCTAATCAAAATCTTTTATTGCCTCAGTTCTTTTGTAAGAAATGGTTACGATTGTTTTATATTAGTGCGGAGAAATGGTTATTATATTATTTAGAAAAGAATAGAGCAAGAATCAAAAAATGTTACCCTTTTGTTGATGCAAGATGTCTAATACCCGTACCCAGCATGCTGTACAGAACCCTTTTTGTTTTTGCGTCCATAGTTTGAGAATTTCCTGAGTTTCAAAGTTTCCCTTCTTGTCTGCCATTTTTTTGATAGAATAACTAATCCCACTTCTGTTTCCAGCAGCAAGATTTAAACACTCCTAATGGAAATATGGCACATGTTTCATTTCTGGCGAAACCTGGCATTAATGCTGATGAGAATGCTTCTTCATCTGACAGGGAAAGCCTGTAAAATAACTGATCTATAAAGTCAATGAACAGATAATACAACAGTCTATCTGATAAAACTCCCTTTTTTTTTTTTTTTGCATACAGGGCAAGTGCCGAGGATGAGGAGGTGACCAACCGCACGATGATTCGCAGGACAACAATTGGCAATGGTATGTAAGGATTCTTTATTTAGTTTGATTATGTAAGGATTCTTTGTTTGGTTTGATTAGTTCTATGTTTATTCTCTTGATGTTTTTGTGATGTGACATTATCATTTTTTTTTATGCATTGGGGATGTATGTTATGTTGCATGATTGTACTTTTCCCATTGCAGGTCCTCCCGAATCAGTGCTTGATTGGACAAGACAGAATGATTCTGTGTTAAATCAAAGTTCTTCAGATCAAGTACTTTCTAGAAAACATTGGCGTCTTGTCAGATGCCAGAATGGCAAGATTTTTTCTTCTTAACCAGTCCAAGTTTCAAACAATAGAATAAGTTAGCTTATTATTTCTTAAAAAATATGCAGGTCTTCGCATTTTTGAAGAGCTTTCAGTTGCTGATTATCTTGTACGTGATGAAACCGCTTATTTTCTTATGCTGATAAGGATAGAAACTTTATTTTTTGTTTAAAGATAATAATGTTATAAGCAGGTTAATCTGCTTGAATTTATCTTCTGATAATTGTATTTTACAGCCACGAAGTTGTGGTAAAGCAATGAAAGCTGTGGGTGTAGTAGAGGCTACTTGTGAAGCAATATTTGAACTTGTGATGTCCATGGATGGATCCCGATTTGAGTAAGTTAATGTGCGGTGGGATTTTCTGACTTTGCACTTAGTAATTGGATCCTACGATTCTCTCTCAATATTGTAGGTGGGACTGCAGCTTCCAATATGGAAGCTTAGTAGAGGAGGTAGATGGACATACTGCGATATTATATCATAGACTGCAGCTGGGTTGGTTTTCCATGTAATGCTCTTTCAAAAGTTAGCAAATTTCTTTTGGTCCATCTTATTTTTTCTTTATCTACGCTGATTGTTCAGTAGATATTAATATGTGTTGACACAATGCATGTTTTATTTTAACTAATGTTCCTTTCAGATTTTCTTTTTCTTGATTTGCATTTTATCTTCTAAAGCAAATAAATAATAGTACTTGAAGCTGTCTACTTCATCATGATTATATATACTCTTTGAAGATTTTTTGCATTTTTTTTCTTTTTCCTCTTTTCATTCTTAAACTCTAATTTCTCAAAGCTCAACAAATGAGGCATTGACATGCACCTAAGCAAACCTGAAATGAATTGAGTTTAAATTGAAATAAACTATTTCGTGCAATGGTGCTTGCCCTAGTTTTTCAGGTCTGAGATGAATAAGAAACGAGGGCTTCCTACCCTAGATGGTGGTGTTGTGGATGGATTGAAGTCATCTGATAAGCAGTTTATCAAGTATGAATCGTATGCAGTGGAAGCATCGGATCCTTATGTAGAACCAGTATGAACTTTTGATTCTTTAAGGAGGTCCTAATTTGTGTTTAACCTCTGTGCGCTGATGAAGCAATTTAAGGCCTCAAGGAAGATGAATAAAGCTGATGCTTTCGACTTAAATGAAATATCTACTGAAACTTGGAGAGTTATGGATAATATTAGATTAGTTTGATTAACATACCTATTGATTTGATGCCGAAGTCTAAAAGAATGCTAAATAATTAGGTAAAATATTTTTGACATCATTATTTAAGATTATAGGAGATTTTAATGATTATGATGATTATATTGTAATAACTCAAAATAAATAAATATAATACAATGAAAAGTAAGAAAAGGAATTTTAATGGGTTCAGTGTCGGTTTGAACATAACCGTCGTGGTGGTTTCTATTTAGGAGACGAACATCTCCATTTGGAGAGACGATGTAGAAGTCAAGATAGAGAGCGAGAATGGAGAAGGGAGAAGACTTACGAGCGAAACCCTAATGGCAGCATCGCTGAGGCAGAAGACAACATTCGGGTTTGGGGCATAGAAGGAGAAGATGTTCGTTGACACTCGAGTTGAGTGAGGAAGGAAGAAGAGAAGAAGAGGCAAAACTATATGTGCCTTACATAAAAGCCAGAGAGATGACGCAGTAACATGTGAAGAAGAAAGCAATGAAGGCAGTTGTGAGTAGCAGTAGAAGCTGGAGCAAGACGAACATAATGCAAACATGAGGGCATCGAAGGGCTATTCGACGCAAGAAGTGAAGTAGAGAGTCTGAGGCAGAGCTTTTGGAATTGTGTGACCGCAACGCCTGTGAGTACTGTAGGAAGTGGCGATCGAATGTAGGCTAGGGCGACAGTGCGCTTGTGTTTGATTACCTATGTCGACAATCAAAGATCGACTAGAAGAGGATAGTGCGGGAGTCGGGTTCGAGGTGATTTCAATTATCGAGACAGCTTTAGCGTGGATGCATGTGAAGTAAGAAGGCTAAGTGTAGCGAACTTGTTTTGATCGTAAGCCTAGCTGAGCATGAGCTAAGGCACTTCTATTTTTCCTAAACTCAAATGACATTATATAGGTCATATATTTCTTTTAATTATTTACAAGTTACTTTGTTCTTTGAAAAGCTGAAGTTATTTGATAAATAATAATAAATAGAATGAAATTATTAAACTTAACTTTCATATTATATAAAAGTATTAAATTGAATACTTATAGGATAAACAATAGAAAGTAATAAAATAATAATAATGTTGATAATTATTAGAATTAAATGTATTAAAAGTTAATTTTATACCTTAACATTAAAAAATTTAATCTATATCTAATAACTGAGATTGAATTTTTATATAAATAGTATTAGTAATTTAAATAAATAAAATATTGTAAGGAAAAATTTGGACATTATTTCGAGAAGAGCAGTAGTAAAATTACGACAACTAAATGATAAAACATTAATTAGGATCTTTAGTCGCACACACACACACACACGCGCACACACACATAATTTTGTGAAAGGCTAGTCAAGCTTAAGTAATTGATAAAGAAACATGTAATAGAATAAAAGATAATAAAAATACCAATAATAATGACTGACACTGATATCGATATTTTATATTGATAATTAGGGTTCTTCTAAAGTAGTGAGAGCAGAAAGAAAATAAAAGCAAGACATTTGAGATTGTGGTGAATACTCGTGGTTTTATGCTATGATATTATTTTTGCTTCTTTTAAATTAAATGTGTTTGTTGTTCCTAGTTCTGGAAATCACTGCATATCTATGTTTTATGGTTTTATTGAATTTTTATTCAAATCTTAGGAATGACGTGTACTTAGCATTATTTAAATTATCATAAATATTATTATACAAATATATTGGCTATTGTATAAATGAGAATAAAATGATTATTATTATATAATAGTTATTATCATATGCTCGTATGTGCATTTGACTATGATGAAGTTCACCTTTATGACACTAGCGTGGGAATGCTAAGTTACCTGTGCACATAAATAGAAAATGTTATTGATATTAATATTTAGACGGTGCTCATGTGACTGTTGTATAAATAAAGTGCTATAGACAAAAAAATGATATATTATAATATAATGAAATGTCATGGAACTTATTGAATTATAATAATTGATTAGGAAATTATTACTTATTCTACATTAATTTATCTTTGATCGGCTAGCATGCATTTTATTTTCCTATAGTTTTGGAGTTGAGTACCACTGTTTTTGTAACACACTGCTATTTTAAACTAACATTTCAGGTTTAATCGGTTGATCGAAAGATGAGCAATAGAAGAAGAAATGTTTATAGAAGACACGAACAATCTGAATTAAGGTAAATTTATAACAACTCTAATTTAGATTTTCTTATTTAGTGATTTTTTTATTTACTTTTGGATTATCAATTGATATTGATATAAAATAAAAATAGAAAAAATTGATTTTACCGTTCAACAGTCTGTTCCTGCCTTGGAAAACTCCAAGCTCTCGTGTCAGATCGTGAAATTTATGAGGAGCCAAATTTCATAGTAATGTAATAAATTAGAAAGATAATGGGGGAGAACTTATAAGAATTTTGTTTGTACATGAGAATAAATTTGTTTTATAATGAAAAGATCACTATGGAGGTTAATTTTGTAATATGCCAATTAGAACAAAAGTATGAGGGCAAATGCTTGATCTTTGTTATGGCTTTACCTAATTGTGAGATTGCATATGATTTCTAGCATCGTTGAAAGTGTTAAAAACTTTGAATTGCTCCGTAACACACGAGGCACTTGACCACCTTATTCACTTGTGTAGATGAAGTAAGATGTCGAAAGAGAAATTACAACTTCACTTCAAATCATTTTCTTTATTAAGTCATATAAAATAATAAATCATAGTTGTTTCATTGAATTATGATTGGTTAAATTATAAACTTTCAAATTTTTATTGCATTCCATATCAATTGTAAAGAGTATAAAGTAAATGTAAAGTTAAAGTAAATACATATAGAAGATTAAGCATTTTCATTTAGAAAATGGCATTGATGCATGCATTAATATATATCAGATTATTTATAAACATATATCAGATTGCTTATAAACAGAGATTGTTTATAAACATATATCAGATTGCTTATAAACAGAATCAAATTGCTTATAAAAAATATGAATGACTGGTATATTGTACTATTTCTTATAGACTTGCATAAATATTATATTCTTTTCTATGGATTACTGTAGTTTTGTAGTGTGATTACTCTTAGGTTATCTTTAGATGACACATTATGTTGTTTTAATATTATTTTTAGATTTTAACATTTGAACATAATGAATAGAAGAGCAAATGTATACAAGAGACGAGAATGATAAGAAATGTATAAATTTTTATTGCTTTATCCAGTGAATTTTTTATGTATTTTCTATATTAAATTGTTAGTAATAGTAATATAAATAAAACAACAGTGTTATACTTTTTATCGTCGGATCCTCTGTTCCCGTCTTAGTTAATTTCAAGTCTCAGGCCTGGTCGTGACAGGACGCTAACAACACTTTACGCTGGGCTCAAAATGCCAGTTGGTTTCTCCCTCGCCGGTCTAGGGAATGGCCCAAAACACAGGACGCAAAGAAGCGGAGCAGAAGGATCGCGAGACAGAGTGAGACTGTCGCCTCTCCTTTGCGCTTCTCTACGTATTGAAATCCTTTAATGACTATTTTCTGCAGTTTCTCACCCATTCCTCTTGTGTGGGAGTTTCCTTCCTACTTCTTTCCTTTTTTCCTCTAATTGGAGTCCATATATTGATGTTGTTTCACAGAGTTAGGGCAATCTTGGTTTTACATATTTCAAATTTTTGTGTGGAGTGTTCTCCCTATTTTAGGGTTGTATTCGAGGAGGTGGTGGTGCTCCGGCTGTATCCTACTATGAGTTTGTGTTGTATCTTTCCTTTTACTCTTACTCGATCCTTTTCCTCCCCTCTCCTCCACCTCCAACCATCCCATACTTAAACATAAAACCCAATCGCCTTTCCCTGTCGCTTACCGTTGATGTCTGTTTACCCAAACTGCACACCAAAACTCTGCCGTCCCTTCCCTGCAACCTATCTTTGTTACCCAGCTACCTGAGCAACACCCTACTCCCTTGCCGCACTTCTCGATAGCCTCTCCTTATTGTCCATCCCTCCAACCACAATCCAACCCACCTACAAGAATCCCAAACGCCCTTCCTTACGCATCTCACCGTTGCCAACGCTTTCTCGTACCCACACTATGCTGACGGTGCTACCCCACTCTCGAATCTCATTTGTCAGGCCTTAGTAGATGACTGGCCTGTCGTTGTTTTTCCCCTTCCATGGTTGTGTCATATCCCTATTTTGATGTTAATAAAAGTTTGCTTTGTGTTCAGCCAAATCCCTGCTAGTTCCGCTATCTCAGAGGCATTAGGATTTTATTTTATCATTTTGAACAATGCTGACTCTGTTTGCTTGTTTGTAGATCAGG